AGGCATAACAGTTGATAGGAGTTAAGGAAGCAGAATTGGACAGAGGAAGAAGTTGGTTGCTGATAATGCAGTCATACAAAAGTCGCTGGTTGCCGATTCCTGGATATGAAAGCCTCAGACAGTTTCATGGGGAGCTCTGAACCTGAAATGGTCATGCAGAATTGCCTTGAATTGAGGCAAGGAGCCTAGAGCCCTTTAAGCACTTATTGTCCAGCCGTTAGACATATGCTGCCAAAAATGAAGAAAGACAATTCACTTCAGCTAAGGTCAGTGTTTGGTGGGAGACTTCAATGCAGAAAGGCAGCCCTTAGCATTGCCAGTAGTTATGGAAGGAGTGCTTCATCACACAAAGCAGATAATTAGGAATTTGTGGAGCAGATCAATGTGCTGATTTTAAAAGACAAATCATCACCACTTAATATAAAACATTTCCTTTCTTCACAATCACTTTTTTAGTATTGTCTAATTTTCCTTCCTTTTTTATTCCTCCCACAAATTATTGATCTTTCTTACTTATTTTGTATCCCTACCCTAGAATACAATCTCCAAAAGAACAAAGAACATTTTTCACTTGTTAAAAGCTGCTAAAATAGCAATTAGAAAGCATTTCCTACACAATATACAATAAATAACTATTAGTATTTGCTGTGACTAACAGAACCACTTATACTAGAGTATAATAATTTATCTGATAATATTATGCTAAGGGAGCAATAAAGCAGTTAGGAAGAACACTGCTCAGAGGGAGTTAGTGTCTTAGGCTGCATGGGCTATCATAGAAAAACTCCAAAAATCGGTGGCTTAAAGAACAGAAATGAATTTCTCACAGTTCTGGGGCTGGAAAGTCCAAGATCAAAATAACAGTTGATGCAGTTTCTAGTAAGGACTTTCTTCATGGTTTGTAGAAGCTGCCTTCTCTCTGTGTCCTCACATGGTGAACAGAATATGATCACTGTTTCCTCTTCTTCATCTTACAAGGACATCAGCTCTATCATATTAAGGACCCACCCTGATAACTGCATTTTACTTTTATTACACCCTGTTTGCATTTCAACATACAAATTTGGGGAAAAAAACATTATGTTCATAACAGTTGGATTAATATATAAAACTTCCTGAAAGAAGATTATAAAAATAAACTTTCTGAGTGAAGTAACTTTTGCGCAGCCATGTGTTGATAAATGTTTAATAACTGACTTTTGGGGACAATAAATATTGGTTCATACTTTATGCTTATGAGTAAAATAAAGTAAAACAATAAAAATGTATGTTAGGCTCGGTACGGTGGCTCACGCCTGTAATTCCAGCACTTTGGGAGGCTGAGGCAGGCAGATCACCTGAGGTCAGGAGTTCTAGACCAGCCTGACCAACACGATGCAACCCCGTCTCTACTAAAAATCAAAATTAGCCAGGTGTAGTGATGAATGTCTATAACCCAAGTTACCTGGGATATTGAGGCAGGAGAATTGCCTGAACCCAGGAGGCGGAGGTTGCTCTGAGCCTAGATCGCACCATTGCACTCCAGCCTGTGCAACAAGAGTGAAACTCCATCTCAAAAATAAAAATGTATGTCAGAACTGCTCTTGCTTATTTATGATGTGAGCAACTGCTTTGTTGAACCAAATATCGATTTTTGGGATATTGGAAGACTATTTCCTCAATATTTTTGTATGTATTGGCAATGTAATGACTACAAACACACTTCCCATTAAGTTTAATCTTCTTGGTAAACATTTACTTTCTGCTTTTCTAAATCTAAACAGTCAAGAAAGTGAATTAATCCAACCCTGCTTTGATTTTTGCTGATTTCTGTGACAGAAATAATCTCACTATCGCCAATTTCAAACTACCAAATGGATATCATTGCTTTTATAGTTAAGAAGAGATACACAGTAGTACAAAATAGCATATTATTTTCAACATATGTATACAATAACCTAAATAATAGTAAAATGAGGAAAATAACAAGGAAGTCATTCATTTTAAGTATACATTTTGTTTTAAAGTAATTTGTTTAGTTATAATTTATCTAATTTAATACTTAGGCTCCTTTAAAAGTTGGCTGCAAAATCCCATCAAAAAGGAGGCAAAGGATATGAACAGACACTTCTCAAAAGAAGATGTTTATGTGACCAACAAACATATGAGAAAAAGCTCATAATCACTGGTCATTAGAGAAATGCAAATAAATACCACAATGAGATACCATCTCATGCCAGTTAGATGGGTATTCATTAAAAATCTGGGAACAACAGCTGCTTGTGAGGTTGCAGAGAAACAGGAATACTTTTACACCGCTGGTAGGTGTATAAATTAGTTCAACCATTATGGAATACAGTGTGGCAATTCCTTGAGGATATAGAACTAGAAATACCATTTGACTCAGCAATCTCATTGCTTGGTATATATCCAAAAGATTATAAATCATTGTACTATAAAGACCCATGAACACATATGTTTATTGCAGCACTATTTACAATAGCAAAGACTTGGAACCAACCCAAATGCCCATCAATGATAAACTGGATAAAGAAAATGTGGCACATATACATCATGGAATACTATGAAGCCATAAAAAAGGATGAGTTCATGTCCTTTGCAGAGACATGGATGAAACTGGAAACTGCTATCTTCAGCAAATTAACACAGGAACAGAAAACCAAATACAGCATGTCCTTACTCATAAGTGGGTGTTGAACAATGAGAACACATGGACACAGGGAGAGGAACATCACACACCAGGACCTGTTGGGGCATTGTGAGGAAAAAGGAGGTATAGCATTAGGACAAATACCTAATGCATGCGGTGCTTAAAACCTAGATGACAGGTTGATAGGTGCAGCAAACCACCATGGCACATGTATACCTATGCAGCAAACCTGCACGTTCAGCACATGTATTCTAGAACTTAAAATAAAATAAAAATAATAAAAAATAAATAACTGTTTTGCAAAATTATTGAAAATTTAACAATTTGCTCTCATGGACTTGACTCGAGCACAACATTGCTTTTGTGTGGATAAGGTAACCTGGTGGGAATGCTAAGAGTTGCTAAGAGTAAGGCCAAGAATAGTAAGAAATGAATTTCCATGGATGCATCATGTACGGATGTGAAAATTCTTCAAGACATGACAAAGATTGTTTGATGTACTTCAAGTGTTCTGTTTGTATAAATGGTCACATTTTTGTGTGGAATATGATAAACAGGAAGTGGGCAATCATTAAGGTCCTCATATGTAATACTACAAATTATAATCTTGGCTAGTTTATGCTGTGGTAAGAAACAATCTTCAAAAATCTCAAGATATCAAAACAATAAAACTTCATCCTTTTTCTTTGTTCATTTCTACTGCTGGTCATCAAGGAACTCTGCTCACTGTAATCAAATAGGCACCAAAGCTGCAGCAGTCCCCAACATCTTTCGCTATAGCCTTGGGGTATTGGGCCTCAGTATTCACCATGATGAAGGAGAAGAACTTAGAGAATTGTGCCCCTGCTGCTAGACAGAGTCTGATAAAGTCCAAACATATAAGTATTATAATGAGTAAATTGCCAATGCCAATCACATGATAGATTTGAAATTAATGTGGTGAGCACCAAAGGAGAGACAAACCATATGTGTTAGTGAGAGCTGATAGTGTCTGCCACAACACTTAATAATTTTTGGATAATTTTATCATGGGCTTAGCATTTGAATATTCAATTTAAACTACATATAAATGAAATAGTTATAGGAATAATTAGGAAGTTTATGGACACTCTATGTGTTAATTAACTTTCTAAGTGGTGAAAGAGTGAATTATTCGTAAATTACTTCTGGAAACAGGACTCTGCTAAAAAGCACGTGAAAGAACTTGAAGCAGCATCTGAATTTGTTCAATACAATGAAGAAAAAGACTTGAATCCAGAAATCCCTCTTATATATGGCTAATCCAGAGCTTGAGGAAATCGACTTATGTTTGTGCACATAGTGTTTTTATTATGGATCTATCTGGGGCATATTGAACATATAGTCCTCTCAAAAATGATCAGTTTTACTTATGCCCAATCCCATGTATATTTCAGGTAATTTTCCTAGTCCAATTAAGTTAGACCAGGACATTTTCACCTGACAAATCTGAGTAATATTCTGTGGAAAAAATTGCTTTTGACCATTTGCCAAGGATGAGTCTCCGGGTAAGAACGATGCATGTAATCCTATAATTTACTGTCATTATTTTGACCTCTTTTCTTAAAAACACACCACAGATTTATTGCTGGATTTCTTTTTTCTTCCTGAGCCACTGGCCATATAACTCTACTCTTCTCTAGCTCTAGGGAGGCTTCTCCATGCAGACTAGCTCAACAGATTCCCTTGCCACTGGCTCATGGATGGGTTTGGCTACTGAGAAGCAGTAAGAGATCAGAATTATAGGCAGCAGGGAGTAGGTCTCAAGGTGGAAATGTTTATTTCCCTGCTGATCCCCTTCCAAGCTTCCAAGTGTTGATCACATTTCTCTACCAAATGGTAGTTCTTGTTGAGCTCATGCAACTTCACCTTCTTCTTACCATAGAGACAAAAGCTTCCTGCTTTCATTCACCTTTGGGTACCGCAAACATTTAAACATTTTAACTGTTCCTCAGGGCATTTTTTCCTTCCAGGACAGTGACTGATACACTTTCTTAAGCTTACAACTGCAAATATGTCTCTGCCCAATGTACTATCCCTGCTATACAGCCTGGAATGTACTCCTACTCCATGGGATGGTTACACAATGAAATCAACGAGTGCCTGCACTTATAAAATGCACATTAGATATAAGATATGTCTTCCTGATGGTGGCCTTTTAATGTATGTAAAAATGTTTTATAAGCTTTAAAGTGTGATAAATATTATTTTGTGTGGATGATAAATGTAGCTATGGGTTCTATTGACTAAAAGATAAGCACTACTCCTTCATGAATCAAACCATTAGTTCCTGATGGTGTTTAATTATTATCAAACATATTTTTCTTCGCAGGAGCTGTCATTTAAATGTGCTTGCCAACTAGCTTGTTTATCAAAACATTCCAGATCCTTTCAAATTCTCATTTACATTGCTTCTTGTTTACCACGCCCATAAATTTGTATTATCAGCATATTTAACTATGGGGCTATTTTGGAGATTGAAAAGAGACCTGATTCATCATGTACAATATCTCATACATCTGTCATTTCTATTCTACTGCAATTTGGTGAGTTCAGCCTCTTTTTATTTCATGTTTGAATAATTGAAATAGATTTTATATTGTTCTTGCTGCTAAACTTGCTCCCCCATTACAAGATAGACAAATATTCATCTTGCATAATACCACCAGATTATTCTTTTTTCATCTGTTTTCCTAGATATTTGTCCTCCACTTTCCTGTCTTTTTTTCTACACTTCATTCTACACATATTAGTATATAAATATCTTTTCAATTCTCTCAGCCTATATATACATCAATTTTTCAAATCCAAGTAAAACTTCATATCCTTGAGAGTATTTTAATTAGAGAGCCTGTAATACTTACATTTTTTTAACCATTTATTGGGAATATATTTCAGCCCCAGGTATGTGATTATTACATGTTTTAGTAATATTAGTGTTTGAAAGCTACTTAAAACACGATACACACCTCAGACTTCTATGTTTATTTCAACAACAAAACAGTTTCAATTTTGTAATAAATATATTAAGAGACTATTCTCCTCCAGGCCAATTTCCCCCCATATATTTAAAGTGCTCTGAGGGAGGTAACTGGTTAGTAATTTGAGACTAAAATAACTTTTCAAATATGCGTTTCTTTTTTGCACACCAAACTGGTGTGTGCTTGCAGGCACTATTTCTATTAAGCGAACAGCTGGATATCATGTAGTGGATTGACCAGGTGTTTGAGTGAACACATTAGTCATCACACAGAAGCAACTTAAAAGAATGAGTCACAGTGATAGTCATCTCACTTTGGGAAAAGGAAAAGAAATAAAGAAAAAAATGTTTCGAGCTTTTGTGATGTCTATCAGACAGCCACAAAGCACAGTACCTATCAACAGAAACAAATTCAAACAAAAATGGCCTCACCATACATATTCTATTTGATTTGCATCTAAGCACTGAAGATATACTTTATGAATTTTTCTTTTATTCTGACAGTCATACAATAAATGGATGTGAATCAAAAAACTTTTGAATATCTACATAGCCAGAACTAAGCTCTGCATATTAAATATATTCTAATATTAAATCTACCAAAAACATAGCAAAGGTTACATTTATGTTGTAAATGAGAAAACCTATTTAACTTTCTTTCAAATTATTTAAACAGAAATTTAAAATACTATAATTTACATTAAATTCTGAATTTTACATGGGTTTATGTGACTCTATCATTCATGCTGTTGAACTTATGAGTTATTAATATTTACAAATAAATCATGTCCTTTCAAAGGATTCCAATGCTTACAGAAACACATATAAAAGTACATACAATAAAATAAAACTGTGGCAATACAGAAAAATAAAAACTATGATATGACTACACAATGAATCCAGAGTTAATGTGAGCACATGAAATGAATTCCTAGCATTTTCTCTTCAACTTTGTGTCTGTGTATTACTATGCTAATGTAGGTGACGGGTAGCATTTATAGATTGAAGAAACAAACTAGCACATGAAAAGAACCCTGTTTATTATTTGTGCAATTCCTAGAGTCCACTGATACTTACCAACTCTTAACTCTTAGATCCAAGGGTGTTCAAACACTGCTTCCTTTCCAAGCAGGAAACACAAAAAATGTAAGGCAGAATACTCTAATTCTTATTCATAGATTTTGAATACAGGCCTACATGAATAATAATATATTTACTTCCTATGATGTTACTATCTATAAACCTCATTTTTTTTTTCTGTGTCATATCTTGTGAAGTTAAAATAAAAGATAACTAATGAGGGGCTTAACAATGTGTGTCATTTTGTAATTACTTTGTGCTATTATTAATTACTGAGACAGAATATGGACTCACTAGTTATCTGTAGCTATAGCTCAACTTGATTTTGATTCATTTCTTACTAGTTTGCATAAGATAGGATTAAATTTTGATCCACTGCTCAACTACTATCTCTAAACCATTGGTTCTCAAATAGAGACAATTTTGAAACCAAGGAAACATTTGACAACATCTTGAGATACTATTGATTACACAGGACAACTCTTCATAATCACAGAATTATCTGATCCCAAATGACGACAGTGTCAAGTTTGAGAAACACTGCACTAAGCTTTTTTGTCTGGTTACTCACCTCTCTGCTTTGCCCTGCCCCTAGATTTACAGATATTGAATTCCTGATTTTTTACTGCTTTACTCAACTTATAGATATTCTAAACTAATTTGTATGTATCTTCCTAGCTGGACCCTTTGCTTTTAACTGAATTTTACTGTACTTTTATAAAGGCCATTTCCAGGGAGTTTAGTCATTATCTTCACAAAATTTTTATTTGCTTCAGTCTGGGAAGAAGCTCTATGTTAAAAAATAGAAACAAAAACGAATTTATGAGAAACATTGTGTAACGTAATTACTTAAACATTTTTTTTGTCTTCTTCTTATATAATCTTTTAAATTCAGTGAGTGACTTGTGGTTTTCAGGCTGGGTCAGGAAGTTTTCTTGGACAGGGAAATTCTGTCTGCTGAGACACTAAGGGGGCAAATGCCTCTGTGGGCTCAGGCTGGTCACTGACCTCTTAGGGTTTCCTGACAATAAGTTAGTCATTAAGTTGTGGTTGCCATCATCAGTTCTTATTGGCTCCTGGTAGCACTGGCTGAATCTCTGCACCACAGATACTAATCAGTTTTAGAACTCAGCTTCTCTGCATAGGCAATATTTATTTTTTCTGTTTTTTTATCAGCAAAGTTGAGAAAGTGAACACACCCAAAACAGCCCATTTCTTAGCTTATCGATATCTGTACCTATTTCTTTCCCTCATGGGCATATATTTTCCATATATTGTTGGTGTTAGCATCTGACACTCATCCACATGAGAATGTCTACAAAGCCTAAACTACCTTTTTTTTTTTTTTGAGACAATCTCGCTCTGTCACCCAGGCTGGAGTGCAGTGACATGATGTCAGCTCACTGCCACCTCCTCTCTCTGGTTGAAGCAATTCTCCTGTCCCAGCCTCCCAAGTAGCTGGGACTACAGGCACCTATCCCCATGCCTGGCTTGTTTTTATATTTTTAATAGAGATAGGGTTTCACCTTGTTGGCCAGGCTGGTCACGAACTGACCTCAGGTGATCCACCTGCCTTGGCCTCCCAAACTGCTGGGATTATAGGCATGAGCCACCGTGCCTGGCTACCTAAACTACCTTTTAAACATTATTTAAGATAATAGCTTTGTCTTCCACCAGAAACCCTGAGACATTTTTAAAAGGATTTGAAGAGATCTATACCCAAAGGAATAGAGAGAAAAATTAGTGCTGACCAACCTGGGCCTGTTTGCCTAACACAAAATAGATTAAATTAATAAAAGCAAGATATTCTGCATTTATAAAGATGTTAACTCTTTTTAATGTGTATGACTTATTAATGAGTTTAGAATGAGATCTTGAAGAATGTCATTCGGGATCTTGCAGATTGTACATATTTTTCTGGTAAATTAGGAAGTTTGATTTTTCAATAACAAAGCTCACTGGAAACCCCTGTAAACAAGTAATAAATATTTAAAGTCTGCAGTAATGTTTACTCATTCAATAAATAATGGCTCCACATTTAGAAATACTACAGATAAGTCATTTCTGAAGGCAAATTCTACTGTTTCCTGGCTTTATATTCTGAATTTTAAGACAAAGATGGCTGTCTTGAAATTTTAGTTATGGGAAAGAAATTTCTTAATGATACAATTTTTTCTTATTCTTACTCTGTGAGACTTTTGTTTATATTGTATCAAACTATTTCTGTAGTCTATGCTATAGAAATATATTTGAAAAATCATGTTTAGCTTTTAGAAATTAACTTACAGGATACATTTTAATTTTAATTAGCATTTTAATAAAGTTCCATTTTTCTAGTCTTTTCATATCTGGAAGATATTTCTTATACAATATCATTTATATTATTTAATATTGCTGTTTTTTAAAAGAGAAACTGAAACCTTTTACTCATATATACCAGACTTCCAAAACTGTCTTAGTTTGAAAATCAGTTCTCCAAAATACTTTCTCTAACTTAACTTTATATATTAGGTGCTAATATAATCCTAATAAATACTATAATCATGCATTTAAAAAACTTTTATGTTTTCGATATACACAGCACAGCATCATCTTCTTGCCCTGCCCCTCACTATGGTATCTTTCAATAATATGATTTGCTCAAATTCCAAATCCTCAATGAAACAAACATCTATCCATTTCATAATTCACTATTTTATTTAATAAATATTTAGTGAATGATTTCTGTGTGTCAGGAGCGTATTAGGAGGTTGGGGACAAAGTGGTGGGCTAAATAGGCAAGTTTCTATGTTTCTTCCTTTATAGAGTGTGTATTTTAATCGCAGTGGTAACACGAATGCCTCAATAAACTCTGAATACTATAGTAAAAGGAGAGATATTTCTGGTTACAAATAGTCAAGAACTAATGTGCAGTTCATTGACTTTGTCCAGCTCGGGTCGGGGGGGCGGGACCAACATTTATAAAAAGCCTTTATTTTTTTAAATATGAAAGACTTAAATTATTTTTTAACAAGGAATTCATCAAAGTCATACTTTTTTTTTTTTTGAGACAGAGTCTTGCTCCATCGTCAGGCTGGAGTGCAGTGGCGCAATCTCGGCTCACTGTAACCTCCGCCTCCTGGGTTCAAGCGATTCTTCCGCCTCAGCCTCCAGAGTAGCTGGGACCACAGGCACGTGCCACCATGCCCGGCTATTTTTTGTATTTTTAGTAGAGACGGGTTTTCATCATGTTGGCCAGGATGGTCCCAATATCTTGACCTCGTGATCCTCCCGCCTCGGCCTCCCAAAATGCTGGGATTACAGGCGTGAGCCACCGCGCCCGGCCCAAAGTCATACTTTTATGCATGAAGGGAGAGAATGGTAACTCTACTTTCTTCTCTGGCTCAACAAAAAACTTTATAGGTGTTATTAAATGTTTATAAAATTATAGTAGATATTTTAAATGTTAACATGGCAACTATTTACTTAG